AAAGGTGGAGCGAGTTCCGTCTTAGACGAGTGATCTCGAATCCGACGTACAAGTGCAATCCACATGATCCGCAGCTGAACTCTCACGGAAGGTGGAGCTCTGAGCCGCCCCGGATCGAGTATTCTCGATTCAGCTGCATCGCGTAACCCATCCCTCGCGACACAATCCTATACCGCACATTCAAACCGCCGAGCGCATCCATTTGTTTCGGTTTTCGCCGACACCGTCGTTTTAAACGCCACAGCATCACGACACCCACCGCCGTTATTAAAGCGCATCAATTGTAATAGACCGCGCGCGAACTGTAAACCGCGGCATTAAAAAATAAACATTTAAACGCCGCTGCGTATCTTAATATCGCGATATCCGCCGTCGTTGTTAAAGCGCATCGATGGTAATAGACCGAACGCGGACTTTAAATCGCGGCGCCGAGAAATAAATATTTCCGCAAAAGCAACTGTCGATTCCGAGAACCCGAGGATTCTCGGAACATCGGAATCCCTCGCGGAAAAAGCGCCGCAAAAAAACGCGCCGTCTCGCGCTTTCGTAAACACAAGCCGGCGTTGGAGATCGAGACCGAAATTAAAGCTGCATTTATTGTCGCGTCAATAATCGGACAATACAAATATTACACGCACGCACGCACGCACGGCACGCACGCACGCACGCACGCACGCACGCCCCCCACCACGCACGCACGCACGCACGCCACGCACGCACGCACCGCACCACGCACGCACGCACGCACGCCACGCACGCACGCACGCCCACCACGCCACGCACGCACGCACGCACGCACGCACGCACGCACGCACGCACGCACGGCACGCACGCACCGCACGCACGCACCGCACGCACGCACGCACGCCACCGCACGCACGCACGGCACGCACGCCACCGCACGCACGCACGCACGCACCGCACGCACGCACGCACGCCACGCACGCACGCACGCACGCACGCACGCACGCACGCAACGCACGCACGCACGCACGCACGCACGCACGCACGCACGCACGCACGCCACGCACGCACGCACGCACGCACGCACGCACCGCACGCACGCACGCACGCACCGCACGCACGCACCACGCACGCACGCACGCACGCCCACGCACGCACGCACGCACGCACGCACGCACGCCACGCACGCACGCACGCACGCACGCACGCACGCACGCCACGCACGCACGCACGCACGCACGCACGCACGCACGCACGCACGCACGCACGCACCGCCACGCACGCACGCACGCACGCCACGCACGCACGCACGCACGCACGCACGCACGCACGCACGCACGCACGCACGCACGCACGCACGCACGCACGCACGCACGCACGCACGCACGCACGCACGCACACGCACGCACGCACGCACGCCACGCACGCACGCCACGCACGCACGCACGCACGACGCACGCACGCACGCACGCCACGCCGCACGCACGCACGCACGCACCGCACGCCGACGCACCGCACGCCGCACGCACGCACGCCACGCACGCCACCCGCACGCACGCACGCACGCACGGCCACGCACGCACGCACGCCACGCACGCACCGCACGCCACGCACGCACGCACGCACCGCACGCACGCCCACGCCACGCCGCACGCCACGCACGCACGCACGGCACGCACGCACCGCACGCACGCACGCACGCACGCACGCCACGCACGCACGCCACGCCCCCCCCCACGCCACCGCACGCACGCACCCGCACGCACGCACGCCACGCACGCCACGCCACGCACGCACGCACGCACGCACGCACGCCACCGCACCGCACGCACGCACGCCACGCACGCGCACGCACGCACCGCACGCAAACGCCACGCACGCACGCACGCCACGCACGGCACGCACGCACGCACGCACGCAACGCACGCCACGCACGCACGCACGCACGCACGCACCGCACGGCACGCACGCACGCCACGCACGCACGCACGCAACGCACGCACGCACGACACGGCACGCACGCGCACCGCACGCACGCACGGCACGCACGCACGGCCACGCACGCACGCACGCACGCACGCACGCACGCACCGCGCACGCACGCACGCACGCACGCACGCACGCACGCCACGCACGGCCACGCACGCCACGCACGCGCACGACCACGCACGCACGGCACGCACGCACGCACGGCACGCACCGCACGGCACGCACGCACGCACGCACGCCACGGCCACCGCACGCACGCACGCACGCACGCCCACGCACGCAACGCACGCACGCACGCACCCGCACGCACGCCCCGCACGCACGCACGCAACGCACGCACGGCACGCACGCACGCACGCACGCACGCACGCACGCACGCACGCACGCACGCACGCACGCACGCACGCACGCCCCACGCACGCACGCACGCACGCCACCCCGCACGCACGCACGCACGCACGCACACCGCACGCACGCACGCACGCACGCACGCACGCACGCACGCACGCACGCACGCACGCACGCCCGCACGCACGCACGCACGCACGCACACGCACGCACGCACGCACCACGCACGCACGCACGCACGCACGCCCACGCACGCACGCACGCCCACGGCACGCACGCACGCACGCACGCACGCACGCACCGCACGCACGCACGCACGCACGCCACGCACGCACGCACGCACCACGCACGCACGCACGCCACGCACGCACGCACGCACCGCACGCACCACGCACGCACGCACGCACGCACCGCACGCACGCACGCCCACGCACGCACGCACGCACGCACGCACGCACGCACGCACGCACGCACGCACGCACGCACGCACGCACCGCACGCACGCACGCACGCACGCACGCACGCACGCACGCACGCACGCCACGCACGCCACGCACGCCACGCACGCACGCACGCACGCACGCACGCACGCACGCACGCACGCACGCACGCACGCACGCACGCACGCACGCACGCACGCACGCACGCACGCACGCACGCACGCACGCACGCACGCACGCACGCACGCACGCACGCACGCACGCACGCACGCACGCACGCACGCACGCACGCACGCACGCACGCACGCACGCACGCACGCACGCACGCACGCACGCACGCACGCACGCACGCACGCACGCACGCACGCACGCACGCACGCACGCACGCACGCACGCACGCACAAAGGGTGTAACTGAATTTGAATTAAATATTTTATTGATAAATTCTTTATAATATTTTAAGACGAAAATTCTAATACGAAAATGTCGATGTTATAATAGTTTTCCAAAAAAGAAAAATTTAAAGATCAAGAATTACAAGGTTAAAGTTTCTTGTACACACCCACGTAAACATATACTTTTCTTAAATTTCTTCCCTTCTCTCTGTCTCTCTCTTACACACACACACACACACACACACACACACACACACACACACACACACACTCTCTCTCTCTCTCTCTCTCTCTCTTTATATATATATATATATATATATATATGTACATATATTCTATATAAAGATATATGTATATATACCTCTGCCTCTTTCAATCTTCTTTTCTTTTCTTCCGAATATATATTTATTTTATCTTCTTCCTTCTTCTTACTCCTCCTTTTACTTACTTCCTCCTTTAAATTTTTGAACATTTTTTTGCTCCTTTCTCTTTCTCTCTTCTTCTTTTTTCCTTTTTTTAAACAATTTTTCGTCTTGAACTATCTAAATAAAAAGTAAAAATGTATGTAAACACTATATATCTTCTTTTTTTGTATAACAACAATTTATAAATAAAGAATATATAATTATATTATCAAATCTTACTTGTCATTTAAATAAACATTTATGAAGCACATGCATATATGTTCGCGAATGAAAGAGTTTGGGCGGAAAGCGCGTTCCGAAGAATTTTTTGACAGGACACCACACACTTGTATGCAGCGATAAGACACGACACGTATATTTTTGTAATTTTTATGAAGTTTTATTTTAACGAAACACAATAAAATAAAGAAAGTTTTACACAAAATATACTTGGTTTCAGACATTGATGCGAAGCGAGAAAATCGAAAAGTCCGAGGGAGAAAGCGGTCGTGTATGAGAAGCGGTTGTACGAAGCGGTTTTACAGTGCAAGCGGTTTAGCGGAAAAGTGCGAGACTTTGACTGTGTGGGGTCCATGCGCTGGGCCCTTTATATAGCGGACTTGATTTTTGATCCCGTTATAGCGTGGACCAATTAATTTCGGAAGTTGGCGGTGACCTCAGGGCGCCGCTCGTGATTGGCCGCCGATGAGGTCATGAATTAATTTTTTAACTATTGCCATGCGCACGATCCTTTTCGATCAGCTGATTGGCGATCAGCTGATCGCGACGTATGGGCGCGCATGCCCGTCTGTCGCTTAGATTCCAGTGACGGTTGACAATGTTATTGTTAATCGTTTATGATACGCGTTTTTTATGTGCTGAAAAAACAGGCGAGAACTCGAACGATCGAGTTTTTGTTGAAAATAAAGTTTTCGAGAAGTTTCTCGACGCCCGTTACTTTTGAATTTTCGGGTTTTATAATAAGAAAAAAGCTGATTTTACTTTACTCGAATTTTCATATCGGTGATAATTTATGAATTTCGAACATCCCGCCCGCCTCGTCATTATATGACGAAAGTTGTAAGTGTGCGCGGATGCGGACAGGTGTCGCGTACTGTTCTATTGATGAGCCATTGATCGTGATATATGACTGGAATGCGTGACGTCATTTGAAGACACGTGTTGATTAGTTTGATTGAGCTTTTCGCGAGAGTGAGTAATGCGGTGTTTGGTGACGAAATGAACAGAATGATACAGTGCAGTTTTCGCGAGTGCAGTGAATGTTAAGTGTTGTGATGTGTAGTGCAGTGATGAGTGAGCATGAGAAGAGAACGAAAATGATATCGCGGTTTACGGATCGAACTCGGGTACGAGTGTGTGAATGTGACTCAGCGCGGCGCAATTTTCGGAAATTCGCCGCGTGCGAGTAACACGCAAATGAGGTGTGATAACGTGCGGGCTCACGAATCCGAGTGCGATGAGGATGTCTTGGTGTCGGCTCCTGGCAGGAGGATGATCTTCGCGAGTGGCCGGGTCAGTTCTGAAGATGCCGTGCGAATGGTGACCACGCGGGTGATCCCGTCGTCTCCGGGATGCAGTGCCGTGATGCGGGCAAGTGGCCACCTGGTCGGGGGGGTGGTTTCGGATCGGAGCAGGCACAAGTCGCCGACGCTGGGGCCGGTCTCGTTTTTAAGCCACTTTGGGAGTGTCGCCAAGGCGTTGAGATACTCGCGCGTCCACCGTTCCCAGAAGTGGTCGCGCATCTTTTGCAGAAGTTGCCATCGAGACAGCACGGTGTCCTTCTCGGCGGTGAGCGACGGCTCTGGAACGGCCAAGAGGGGAGCGCCGATCAAGAAGTGCCCCGGGGTGAGTGCCGTCAAGTCGTCGGGGTCGTCTGTCAGCGGCTGCAAAGGGCGTGAATTGAGGCACGCCTCCACCTCTGAGAGAAGGGTCGCCATTTCTTCATAGGTGAGGGTGGCGTCGCCGATGACTTTGCGGAGATGATGCTTCGTGGACTTGACGGCCGCCTCCCAAAGCCCGCCGAAGTGTGGTGCTGCCGGGGGGTTGAACCTCCACCTCACGCCGTCGGAGGCTGTTACGTGAGCTATCCGACGGCCGTCGGAGGATGAGGCGCGAAACATCTCCCTCAGTTCCCGGTCCGCTCCGACGAAGTTCGTACCGCAATCGGAGAAGACTTCAGTGCAGAGGCCTCGTCGGGAGACGAAGCGGCGGAAGGCGGCCAGGAACGCCTCGGCCGTATAATCGGTGACCGCCTCCAGGTGAACTGCCTTGGTGCTGAGGCAGACAAAAACTGAGATGAAGCCCTTGCTTGCCCGGTGGCCTCGGCCCCTGCTGGTCCGGATGAGGATCGGGCCGGCGTAGTCGACCCCGGTGTGTAGAAACGGGCGTGCAGGTGTCACCCGTGCTCGCGGAAGGTTGCCCATCAGAGGTTGTGGTGCGACGGCTCTCCATCGCGTGCAGACAACGCATCGGTGGATTGCCCGTTTAACGACGGCTCGACCTCGTGGGATCCATACGCGTTGGCGAAGTAATCCAAGAGTTAGCTGCACTCCACCATGTAGGCTCCGTCGGTGGCAGGAATCCACCAGCAGGCGAGTCAGATTGGATCCCGGCGGTATGACGATGGGATGCCGCTCGTCGTGGGACAGGATGGCGTGTTTGAGACGCCCTCCGACCCGCATCACGCCGCTGCCGTCGAGGAACGGATTTAGCCGTGTGAGCGGGCTTCGTGGTGGCAAGGCACGACCCTTGCCCAGTGCTGTGAGCTCGCTGTGGAAGTGCAGTGTCTGAGCGACGCGAACCCAGCGGAGAAGAGCGTCCTCGATCTCGTGAGGGTCGAGCGAGAGTGCGGTGCGAGCGCTGTCGCGTGTCCTCCGGATTCCTGGTCTCCGCCATCGAAGGCACCACGCTGTCACCCTGAGGAGCCTGTGCAGTGATGAGAAGCGTAGCAGGAAGTCTGGTTCGGAGATGACCTCGACGGCGGCCGCGAGTGAGGCGACGGTTCTTTGCTCCGGCAAGTCGGCATCCGGCAGGGCGCCGTCGTCACTTGGCCACCTTGCTTCGTCCTCTTGGAGCCAGGATGGTCCAGTCCACCACAGGAGATGACCGACCAGGTCGCTGGGCAGGACTCCTCGGGAGGCGCAGTCAGCTGGGTTGTCCTTGCCCGGCACGTGTCGCCATTGCGCCTCGGGTAGTCGCTCCTGGATTTGCGACACTCTGTTGGCCACGTAGGTCTTCCAGCGGGACGCGTAGCCGTGGATCCAGTGTAGTGTGACCTTGGAGTCTGACCAGAGGAAGACTGGAGCTGAGGACAAACTCAACAAAGTGCGCGTGTGAAATACGAGGTTTGCCAGAAGGGCAGCCGCGCACAGCTCGAGCCGCGGCAACGATACGGGCTTCAGGGGGGCGACCTTGCCCTTTGCGTTCAACAAGTGAAGCGTAGTGCCCCTTTCAGTGGATGAGCGGAGGTACACTACGGCGGCGTATCCTCGCTCTGATGCGTCGGCGAACCCGTGAAGTTCGACGCGTGACTCAGGATCGTCGCTGCCGAGCCAGCGAGATATCCTGATCTCATTGAGGTGCGGAAGTTGCGAGAGCATGGTCCTCCAAGCTAGTGCGTCCGCCGATGGAAGAGGAGTATCCCAGTCGAGTTTCCGGAGCCAGGCGGACTGGATCAGGATTTTGGCCCGCATTGTGACCGGAGTGAGCCAGCCCAGCGGGTCAAACATCCGAGCGGTTTCGGACAGGACTAGTCGTTTCGTGAGTTCGTTATAGTGCCATGCTCGTTCCGCGAAAGTGAAGTAATCACTGGCCGGGTGCCAGTGAAGTCCGAGTGTCGCGTGACTCTCGTGCGATCACGAGTGAGGTGCACGGGTGAGCCGGTGCTCGAGTGGAACTCCGTCCAGGACGCTGAGGCTGTTGGCGGCCCATTTTCGAAGCGGAAACCCGCCCGCCATGCAGAGGCTGCGGAGCTCCCGTTGGACCACGGTGGCCTCCGAGAGGGTGCTCGCGCCAGTCACGACGTCGTCCACGTAGGTATCGCGGCGCAGCGCGACAGCTCCTTGCGGAAATCGATGGCCTTCGTCGTCGGCGAGCTGGTGCAGGGTCCGTATGGCGAGGAATGGTGCGCACGCCAAGCCATACGTGACCGTTCGTAGGCGGTACTCGCGGATGTCGTCGGCGGCACGGTGCCGCCAAAGTATACGCTGATGCTCGCGGTCGTCCGGGTGGATGAGGATTTGGCGGTACATTTTCTCAATGTCCGCCACAAACACGTAGCGGTGCCAGCGCCAGCGTAGAAGCACGTCAGCAAGAGCTGGCAAGAGATTGGCGCCAGTCAGTAGATTGGCGTTAAGCGACGTGCCGGTGGTTGTGAGCTGGGAGCCGTTGAATACGACCCTGAGTTTGGTGGTGGTGCTCGTTTCACGCAACACTCCGTGATGCGGTAAGTAGCACTTTGCCGTGTCCGTTTCCTCGGATGAAGTGTTTACCGTCTCCATATGTTGCAGGTCGTCGTATTCCTGCATGAAGTCGTGGTAGAGGCCGCTGAATCGAGCGTCCTTGTCGCAGCGACGCTCCATGGCGTGGAGCAGGCGTTCGGCCGGCCGGCGGGTTTCCAGGAGCGAAGGCGGAGCGCCGGAGAAGGGGAGCCTCACGACGTAGCGGCCCGCGTCGGTGCGTGTGTGCTCGCGGACGAAGATGTCCTCGCATCTCCTTTCTTCAGGGGTGAGAGCGACGGGAGTAGCGGGCTCCTTTTCCTGCTCCCAGAAAAGCTGCACCAGGTCGGTCAGCTGGCGGTCTACCGTACATTGATGTGCGGCGTGGCCTCCCTGGGTGGTGACTCGGTGACCGCCCGATAGGATCCACCCGAGAGAGGTCTTCTGAGCGATGGGCTCATTCTGGCTTCCCTTGCGGAGTCCTTCCTGGAGGATGGCGGAGTAGGCATCTGCGCCGAGCAGAATCTCGATCGGATCTCGATCCAGATATTGTGGGTCGGCCAGGGGGAGACCGCGTATGTGAGGCCAGGTGAGGCTGGATCGCACGACGGGCCCCTGGTATGTCGAGAGACGCGGAAGGATATACGCCTGAACCGAGAGCGCTGCTCCAGTGATCGCCGAGGAAAGCGTCATCGACAGCCGTCCGCGGGTTGCTCCGGATGCTCCTCCAATGCCGGCAATTCTCATAGACGAGCGGTTCCGCGGCAGACGCAACCGCTGGGCCAAAGTCTCAGCGACCAGAGAGACCTCGGATCCTTGGTCGATCAGCGCTCGGACGTCGTGCGGTCTTCCCAGGTGGTCCTTGATAGCGACCCGAGCGGTAGCGAGGAGGATCGCCTTGCGGTCCGACGCGACGGGTGTGGCGGACAACGAATTCGCTCCGTCGGACTGGACGTACGCGTCGTGTAGTAGTGTGTGATGCCGTGCTTTACAGGAGAAGCACGTCTTGACCGACTGGCATTTTGCCAGGAAGTGATTCCCGAGGCAATTAAAGCAAAGCTTGTTCGCTGCTACAAGGTTCTTTCGTTCTGGCGCGGTCTTTGCTTTAAACGTCGCGCACTGCATAACTGAATGTTTTTCCTTGCAGACGGCGCAAGTAGAGGAGTCGGACGCGCGCTTCACGAAGTGCGACTTCGCGGACCGAGAAGCCTCTCCAGACTTTGCGACGGTAGCTGGCTGCACGGCATTGAGTGTGAGGACTTGTTTCGCGATGAAATCCATAAGGATTTCATTGGTCGGTGGGTCGACGGAATCGCGGATGGAAGACTCCCACTGCATCCTGGTTTGCGGGTCGAACCTCTCCACAAGGAGGTAATTAAACAGATCCATACCATGTGTGTCTATCGGCCTGTCAATGCTCTCCTGTGCATTGATGGCGGTTGTGGCGGCGTTGTAGATTCTGCTGAGTTCGTCAGCGGTCGCGGCCTTCATTTTTGGCACGGCGGTGTACGCGGCGAAGTTGGCGCGAATGAGCTCCCGCTTGTTCTCGTAATGAGAACTCAAAATGGACCACGCTCGCTCGTAGTTGCCCCCGACAATTGGCAACGATCTAATTAATTTTTCCGCAGGACCCTGCAAGCTCGTACGGAGATAATGAAGCTTTTCCACGTTGGAGATGGACGAGTTGCTCCCGATGATTGACTGGAAAATGTCGCGGAACGCGGGCCAATCTCCGTATGTGCCCGAGAACGCCTGGAGTTTAATTCGCGGCAGCGAAGTTTTGAGCGTCTGCTCTTGGTGAGTCTCGGTCTTGGGTGCGGTGAACGATTCACCCTTGAGCTTATTTGCGTAGTCCACCAGCATGCTTCTTTGCGTCACGTAAGTGGTTTCCGCGATATCAATAAAATCAGCTTTGGCGTACTCACTCTCAAGATATTTATCTTTCAGCGCCGCTACGATGAGATCATGATGGGTCTCGAATCGGGTCCACAAAGTCTCAAGAATGCGGAGGCGAGCTTGGATTGCTTCGGCGGTGATGCTCGAGACGCCCATCTTGCGCAGATTGTCCACGGAGCGAGACATTCGCCCGTGGATGTCGTTCTGCGCTTCCAACAACGCCTTCAGATCGGTACTCATTGTAATCGTCCTTTTGCACAGGTTCGCGCACTGGATGTCACGAGAACTTCACTCACGAACTGCGGATGCGGATGGTTATCCGGCTCGAAGGACCAGAAAATGTTCGTGAATGAAAGAGTTTGAGCGGAAAGCGCGTTCCGAAGAATTTTTTGACAGGACACCACACACTTGTATGCAGCGATAAGACACGACACGTATATTTTTGTAATTTTTATGAAGTTTTATTTTAACGAAACACAATAAAATAAAGAAAGTTTTACACAAAATATACTTGGTTTCAGACACTGATGCGAAGCGGTTGTACGAAGCGGTTTTACAGTGCAAGCGGTTTAGCGGAAAAGTGCGAGACTTTGACTGTGTGGGGTCCATGCGCTGAGCCCTTTATATAGCGGACTTGATTTTTGATCCCGTTATAGCGTGGACCAATTAATTTCGGAAATTGGCGGTGACCTCAGGGCGCCGCTCGTGATTGGCCGCCGATGAGGTCATGAATTAATTTTTTAACTATTGCCATGCGCACGATCCTTTTCGATCAGCTGATTGGCGATCAGCTGATCGCGACGTATGGGCGCGCATGCCCGTCTGTCGCTTAGATTCCAGTGACGGTTGACAATGTTATTGTTAATCGTTTATGATACGCGTTTTTTATGTGCTGAAAAAACAGGCGAGAACTCGAACGATCGAGTTTTTGTTGAAAATAAAGTTTTCGAGAAGTTTCTCGACGCCCGTTACTTTTGAATTTTCGGGTTTTATAATAAGAAAAAAGCTGATTTTACTTTACTCGAATTTTCATATCGGTGATAATTTATGAATTTCGAACAATATACAAATTAATTAAAAAATATTTATTTTAATAATTCTATTAATGTTCTAATGTCGGAATTGTCGTAACTATGTTCTAATAAATGTCTAAAACAATTTATTAAAAAATATACAATTAGAGTATCAAACTTACTTGTTGCTCATAATATATGTCAGCAGTCTATCAGTCATTGTGCTTGCAACTATTATAATTTTTACAGTCCTCTATAATGTATTGATACTTTTTTATCCGTAAAAACTTATGGAAAAATTTAATGACAAATAAATACTATTAGAAAATAGGACCGTTTAGCTGTAATTTTATTAATGCACTATCACTCTGTTATCAATTTCATATGATAAATATCATTTGAATTCGAGGAAACACATGTATAATAATTGTAACACGACAGTGACACTGAATTCTTCGGTATTAAAAGTCTTGACTGATATGGTACCAGCACAGTATGTATAATAGCACTTCTTCTTGTTCTTCTTCTTCTTCCTTTTTATGGCACTGGGCGGTCTCAAGCGCCGCTCATGCTGCCAGTACAGTAGCCATATATGTAGTATTCCTATATTGCCAGTTCTGTATGAGGAATGAGCGAAGAAAGATAATTTACATCTAGACGTAGGTACCATAGTATATACAGTACCGCAACCCTTTGTCCGCACCTTTGATGTTAGCGTAGGTAAAAATAAACTGCACATACGCGGACTTAATAGATAACCAATCTCGGCAGTCACCTTCTGGCCGGTATTCATAATCCTTGAAATGCTACGCAGGTATTTGATTGGTTGAATGAGGTCTTAAGTCAACCTCGGACCAGACTTAAGACATTTTTAAATAGAAGATCGGACTATACCGGCCTCTGTCTCTCTCTCTCCTTCTCTCTATATGCTCTATATGCCATATATATATTTAACGCATGCGCAAAAGTGCTACCGTCGGAGAAATGTGCGAAAGAGAAGCTATCGTTTGCACCGTAATGTTTTCGCTCATTCCTCCTACACAACTGGCAATATAGGAGTACTATATATATACATGACAGTAGCGCAAATGTGCGAGAGAGAAGCTATTGTTTGCACCGTAATGTTTTCGCTCATTCCTCCTACAGAATTGACAATATAGGAAGTACTATATGTATACAGGGTGGGGAAAAAGTATGGAAGCAAACAATTATTTCCGTTCCCTTACATTTTACAAGAAAATGTTTCAGACAAATGTTGTATGGTTTCAAGGGGGACATAAGATGGTGTCATTAGTTTGAGCTTGAAGAGTCACCTGAAGGTCACATGAAGGTCACCACCAACTTTTTAAATGGGACACCCTATATGCTTTTACATATTCTTGTAGCTTATCTCGAGAGCTTTCCAAAACACTATAATTAAGTACCTTTTCGTTAAATACTTCTTGAGTTATAAGGCTTGAAATCATTTCTTAATTTTACATAAACCATAAAATATCTTGTAAAATATTCATTTTTCGATTACCTTACCTTAATACTTTTATGCACGAAATAATGAGAGGAATCAATTGGTGTAAAGAAAACAAAATTGTTTTTAAAAAAAAATATGGAATTGTTAATTGCAAATTACATATTTTTTCTTAGTAACAACTATATGTTTTCTTTACACCAATTGATTCCTCTCATTATTTTGTGCATAAAAGTATTAAGGTAAGGTAATCGAAAAATGAATATTTTACAAGATATTTTATGGTTTATGTAAAATTAAGAAATAATTTCAATCCTTATAACTCAAGAAGTAATTAATGAAAAAATACTTAATTATAGTGTTTTGGAAAACTCTCGAGATAAGCTACAAGAATATGTAAAAGTATATAGGGTGTCCTATTTAAAAAGTTGGTGGTGACTTTCATGTGACCTTCAGGTAACTTTTCAAGCTCAAACTAATGACAACATCTTATGTCCCCCTTGAAACCATACAACTTTTGTCTGAAACATTTCTTCGTATCTTTTAGATTTTATTCGTATCTTTTAGATTTTACGAGATATTTTGATGTGTCAAGTTAAATATACATATACATATACATAATGTGTGTGTGTGTATATTCATTACCTAATATTCTTTTCTCCTTTCCTTTTTATTTCTCTCCTTTTCTGCTTCTTTCTTTATTTTTCTGTTTCTCTTCTCTTTCTCCTTCTCTCTCTCTCTCTTTCTCTCTCTCTCTCTCTCTCTCTCTCTCTCTCTCTCTCTCTCGCTACTTTTTTTAATAAAATTTCTTTATCTCTTTCTCTATCTCTTCTTTTTCTGTCTCTCTTCCTCTATCTAGTCTTTTCTATATAATTTTAAATAAAACATTTACCATAATTAACATAATTCACTATCTCTCTTTTAATACTTTATTTAATAATAATATTTATTACCTCTCTCCTCTCCTTTTCTTTTACTTTCTCTCTTCTCCTTTCTTTTTCTCTCCTTTCCTGCTTCTTTCTTTATTTCTCTGTCTCTCCTCTCTCTCTCTTCTTTATCTCTTTCTCTGTCTTTACTTTCTCTCTCCTCCTTTCTTTCTCTCTTCTCTCTCCCTCTCTCTCTTTTTTATCTCTTTCTCTGTCTATCTTCTCTCTTTCTCTCTCTCCTACTTTAAAGAAAACATTTAATGTTTAACATTTCAACATTTATTTACAAAAATTAAATAAATTAAAGATCATAATATTTAATAATAATATTTATTACCTCTCTCCTCTCCTTTTCTTTTACTTTCTCTCTCCTCCTTTATTTCTCTGTTTTTCTTCTCTCTCTCTCTCTTTCTCTCTCTCTCTCTCTCTCAATGTTTCTTTTAATAATAATATTTAATACCTAATATTCCTCTCTCTTCTTCCACCCTTTTACTCTTTAACTTTACTTTACTTTATTTTTCTTCTTTTCAACCTGTCAAACTGTCAAACTGTCAAATGACACGAATGAAGCAAGTCGCTCAGCAAATTACTATTGACGACCAATAACCAATCATCATCGCGGAAAAGAGGCAACAATGTCAATAACATGCCTTTCTTAGAGAGGGATAATTAATTTTTAAAACAAAAGAATAAAAAATTCCGAAGTCGATAAAATAAGAGTCACTCTAATATAAGTTTTATATATATAAATATATATATATATATATATATATTGTGATCGTTAAATTTCTTATTTTTCTAAACGAGGAAAATTATTGAAAGGACCGATGGTGTTGGTCCACGGCACACCTTTGGCACAATCGTCCTCCGTCGACTCGGCGGTCGCAAAAGGCAAGAATTTTTGGGCGCCAGGCGCGAATATCCGCGCTGCGCGAAACGCTAATTTATCGCAAAGAAAACCGGAGAGCCGATCGTGACGGCCCAAAATCTCGGCAGCTCACGCAAACGATGTCGGTAGAGGTGTGGAGTTCGCGGAGAGCGGAGGAGAGGAAGTTGAGAGCGATCGTAGATACTGAAAGAAAACTAATAGTAATCATAAAAAGATTCATGACATATATTTCGTCGAGAAAAGAAAATCGAATAAAATAAGTATTTGATCATATGGTTGCTATCCAGACATAAGTTTACGCGCACCACCAGTCGCAATTCGGTGGAATTTATTGTTTTACATTAACGGCGTCGGGTCCCGTGAGCGAGATAAGGACAGCGCGCTATCGATGCGCACGGCCGCGATCAAAAACGAACGAGACAGAGCATGGATCACGCGGTCGATGCGTGTCTATTGTGAAAAGCCGGGAAAGACAAAGAGATTATTAGCCGACGAGTTAATGAAAGTGCGGCAATTAATCGCATCCGCGATACTGTTCTCGCTCGCCCGAGATCTACCTGATAGCAATCGATATTATGCGAGCCCCGCGCGATGGAATGCGGCAAGGCATACGGCGCAATACAACGACGTCACGTTAATACGACGATTTTCGGTCGAAATACAGAGATTTTCTGGCGAATTACGACAGTCATAACGTACAGATTATGCAAATAATGACGAAATAATCTTACAACGACAATAGATCTCACGAAAACGCGGATAGTTTACAAAATACGACAACGCGAAATACGACACGGTGACTGGCGGCAGTTTCCCGGGGAAGCAGCGGTCCTGCAATAAAAGCTCGGACGGATCGCTCGGCCCCTCGGTTGTTCAAGTATTTCCAGAAATCGTGGAAGAACGGAAACCTTAATGGCGTATAAGCCACGTGCGACAAACGCGAATAA